ATCCTAGATCCTTTCCGTTGGTCTGAACAGTACACTTAATTTATTTTTCAAAATGTGCTAGTCAAAAACTTAGTCTTAAATTTAATGCAGAAACCAGATCATATTTACAGACAGATGGTTCCAGGTTAATATTATTTTAAAATCCAAATTCCATCAGTACATTCCAAAAACACAATAAAATGATAGTAACACACATAGAAAGGGAAATCAGAGGCAGTGATTAGTAGAGGAGATATGAAGAACTGAGCATAAGCTGTCACAATGAAATTTGGGTGTGAAGGAATTCAATGTAAATGACAACAGAGAATGCTAACCTGAGGTGATCTATGACTGTAGTAATATGGAAAAAGAAAACACCTATGAAATGTTTACTTACTTTTTAATCAACTCTTTAGCACTCTGTGGAAGAAAAACATACAAAAAACATTTACTTAATTTTATACTTAATGTTGAAGACACAATTTTACAGAATATATTTTTTTTTACAGATTTTCTATATTTCATTTGAACACATGTATAGCTGACTATAAATGTATGGGCTGTTTCATTGCACACCACCTAATGCAGTATCAGAATACTCCCTCATGTTACCAGCTCAGGAAGAAGGCAGAAATTAAGGTAGCTTTTTTTTAAAAAAAAGCTAGCAGTTATCCTGAGAAGCCCCAAGCCAATTAGTTTTATAGATCACCCTAAAACAATAGCTTATACCTGTAAGCTATAGATCAAGCATGTGGTCTTAAATGATCTATAAATTGCTAATTAGTTAAAATTATTTTTTTAACTAATCAAATCACCTTTTTAACTTATGACTGCCCACAAGACCTGCAGGATAGGGGCTCTCCTGGAGCAGAGTTGAGTGGAAACCCCTGTTTTAGATAATTTTTATCAACCACAGCCGATTTACCACAATATTACACATTTTGGAAGCCCAGCTACTACAAAACGAAACATAACCTGACTTACACAAACCACATAAACATGTACTTTATAAAGATGTGAACACTAAAACATAAAAAATATTTGTAAATATACAAATGTTTAAGTTTCCCAAGCACACAATTCTAAAAAGGTAAAACAATGGATATATGTGATCGTATTTGTATAAAATACATCCTATTGTGTCTCTTGAGGCAGCCAAAAAAATGTTCCAGCTGGCCAAACACCTACAAAACATCTACTAATGTTCAACAGTGACCAGACCACTGACAGAAAAAGAGGAAGAGGACAGAAAAGACACAGGACCAGAAGGGAGGGACAGGAAGCTGTGAGAAAGCACCTCCATCAACAGACCTTGATGTTAAATGTGTTCTAAAGATTTAACAACTGAGTGTGAGAAGGGAATGATTTCCATAAAGCTGGTAGAGATCCAGAAATACCAAGAGAGCTGTGGCTGGGTGAGCAAGTGAACACCAACTGTGTAACTTTCATAGTTCTCATTCCTTGGAGGGTGTTGAGTGTTGGAAGTAAATTTATAAATGGATTTTAACTGCAGCAGTAGAGAACAAAGAACACAGAATAGCTACAGTGTGCTGGCTGTCAGAATTATTTGTCAGCACTTGGGCTGTCTAAGAATGAACTTTCCAGAAAGCTGTTGCAAACAGTAGTACCAGGGAAGTGGCCCCAAAAAATCCTACTTAAACATGATAAGCAGAATAAAAAGCTGAATATCTGCATGGTAAAAAAAAAATCAAGGATGTTACTGATAAAGAAATGAAAACACTCAACTTCATAGTGGATGCGTTTGTCGTCATCAGTGGCAAGGAGATATCATTTAATTCTGTGTCAAACATTGTGCCAGGATTTCATCAATGGATTAAAGGAAGCAAAATTTCATCACAAAAAAATAAGTATAATTAAAGGAAAATACATCATCATGGTGGTACAGTGCTGGAGCTCTGGGTTCAATTCAGGACCTGTGGTGTTATCTTTATGGACTTTTTATGTTCTCCCCATGTTTGCATGCATTTTGGTGCTATTGGTGCTCCAGTTTCCCCTCACAGTCACAGGAAACTGGCCCCGTTGCGCGTGTACATGCTTGTGTTGGTGTGACTGTCCTGCGATGAACTGGAGTCTCGGACAGGGTGTACCCTACCTTTCACCCTTTGCTTACTGGGATAGGCTCCTGTTCCCCTGCGACCTTGAATCGGAAGTAGAAGTAACAAAATGGATGAATTACAGGAAAATGGCAATACTCATCCTAGTTTCAGAGTGTTTGCTGGCCTTAAGGTTTTTTCTGTGTCAATAACTTATCACACGGGCTTGCACAGGTTTTTGACAAAATTATGACTTGTGTCCATCTTGTGACAGACGCATGTTGCCCACCTGTAGGAAGACAGCCATCTGGGGCTCCTCCATGGACTGGATTGCAGTCTCCACAAGCTTGGAGGCTCCCTCCAGGTGATCCCCGTGCTGTCGGATGAGGGAGCGGACGTGGCCGAGTTTCTCGTCCTGCTCCCGGCTGATGCACAGCACCAACTCCTTTTTCTTCTCCTCCAGGATGGCGTAAAGTGAATCGAACTTCTCACACAAGTGCTGCTTCTGTCTCCGGCCGTTGTCCTGTGAAGTCCAACAAAACCAAGGAGTGGTCTCCATTTGCAATCTAACACACCCTGAGCCCATTAGGGCCTGAAAACCTTTAAAATACAGCAGTGTGCTTTGACGTAGCTGGGTCACTTGTATTATGTAGGTTTATGGTCTTTGATATAAGGGAGTGATAAGCAGTCTCATCTTTAAAAGGAGCACAATACTATATGAGATTGTTTATTCAAGAACCAAATGGATTTCATGGCTGTTTAGCTAATTATTGTATTGAACACAGTGCAGTGCGAACTGGTGAACTTCAGCCACACCAGGCACAAGCTCATCTCAGCCTGTAATATGACTCCTTACAATAGATTAACTAAAAAACACTACCCTGCTTTTCTTCTTTAGGGACGAACAGAGGTTTCATGGCTGATACACAGTACTGCTGCAGGTCCATTTATTTTTCTCAGAGAGAAAAATCCTTTGTTACTGCCTAGCTTACCTCAATTGTTCGACAGATCTCCTCCAGCTGAGAAATCATTGCCTGGACTCTGTCATTCCCAGCAACTAGCATGGCTATCCCATCACTCAGCTCTGTCTGCAAAAGAAGTGGCAATTTCAGCAAGTCAACAAGTCCTCATTGTTGTATAACCTTTCATTGCTCGTATAACCCAAGCACGCTAGAAAAAGAACAGACTTAACTCTACTACAGTGAATTAGAGCAATTAAGCACTTTGAGAACTTCAGTGGGACAATCTAGTGCTGGGCATTAGGACTTTGTATGCAGATAGAAGCCAGTTAATGGCTACTACTCAGGAAAGACCTCAGACTGACGAAAATGAACACTGACAACCTGCACAGAACATAAATATATAAAAAGATGTTTTAGAAAAATATTTAGAAACAAGCACTGGCACAATAGTTGACAATAATCGTTCCACAATAATGTTGAATAATATATTCTAGAATTTGTAGAAGCTGGTTGTACTTTATGGTCAGCACAGTGTTACCGTTGTTACAGCACTGGGGCCCTGGGTTCAGTTCTGGATCTTGGATGCTATCTGTGTGGAATTTGTATATACTCCCCATGTTTGTGTGGGCTTTCACCCACCTTCCAAAAACTGTTAGGTGCTTGTGCTTTCGTTTAAAGAGCAGTTTCATCCTGAGTACGGCCATTTATTTTGTAAGAACACTTTTACCCTCATGCGGCATTTGTATTTATTCCAGATGCTGCATGAATCTTTGTACTGCATGAGAATGCTCTAGCATGTTAAAAGCGAGACAGTTTTGTACCTTCAAAGTGGCCATCTTGGCTGAGTAGTTTATGAAGCACACCATGTGCTCCTGATTGGTACAAAACTGTTTTGGCTCTGAAGGCTGTGAAAATAGTTAGGAGTTTCAACACAGATTTTCCTCATCAGAATACATTTCATATCATCGGCCTCCCTCCGTTTCTTCATTTTTGATTTTTGTGTGTGGGTTCAGCATCTAACAATCAATTTTATTTACTTTTTGTTCCTATAAACATCTGCGTACATACTGTGCATCAAAACATACCTATCACTCTACATGGGTTTAGAAAACGTACAGTTTTTCTTTTCAAAGTGCAAGGCACTTGCTGTCATCGTCAGTGTGGCAATGGAGTTAGTTCCAACAAGAAAAATAACAATTGGTTCTTCACTTGCCTTTATTAGGAGCTTGTCTGCCATTTGAATAACATGGGCCTTCTCTAACAAGGAAAACCTAAACAGTAAATTGTTGCTTACACAGGGGTCTTCTATTTTTTTAGTGGCAGTGTTATTGAGGACAGTCTCTAACAGCCACTACCTAGCTTTCATTTTGAAACCACCTGCTTGAATTCCGGGCATAATCACTGGTATGTATACTGTGATGTCTGTGTCCCGGTAGCTGCTGAATGAGTTTCCATCTCGAGGAGCTGGAGTGTGAGAACTGATTTGGTGGTACAAGGTGAGGGGTGTGGGTGGCACAGTGGCTAGCATTGCTTTGTAGCCTTGTAGCTCTGGGACCCTGGGTTCAAATCTGGACCTAGGGTGCGATCTTTGTAGATTTTGTAAGTTCTTCCTGTGCTTGTGTAGGTTTCCTTCCACAGTACAAAGACATGCTGATACTGCAGGTTCCTTAGGATGCTGCACATTTGTGGTGGTGGTGGAGGGGAGTCCCCATTACCTGTAAAGTGCTTTGAGTGGAGTGTCCAGAAAAGTGCTATATAAGTGTAAGCAATTATTATTATTAATAATAATAATAATAATAATAATAATAATAATTAGCTTCTTATACCTACTTTGTGTGTGTCTGCCCTACAGTGGACTGGCATCCCATCCTGTGTGTACCCTGCTTTGTGCCCCTTGCTTGCTGAGAAAGCTCTGGCTTCTCTGCAAACCTGAATTGGCCAAAAAGCCAATTTTAAAAGCTGTTATAAAGTAGATATATTGATTTTATGGGATGCTGTCTGGTAAGATTATTTTTTTCCCCTTGTCTCATACTGGAACTAGTGGGTGTGATAGCACTCTGCTGATTTATTGTACAAAACTGTCGTATTTGTTAGCTTCTTCATCTTATGATGCTCTTTCAGTTTCTTCTAGGTGAGATCACCTCACCTATAAACACAAACCGAGTCTCACCTGGTGCAGTATGTACATAATTTGTAAACCAATTCTCCTTACAACAGAAAAAAATATTATTCAAACATCCACACGCAGGACACAGCAATGAAAATAGCTTGTGACTTTCACGGTACATCCCCTGTAGATTAGCCCTTTTGATGGCACACTATTTGATGGTACAATTAGCATAATGAATTTACCTATGCTGTGTCTGCTCAACAAAAGGTAATTGTACTTGCTAAAAAAATGAAAAATTATCCTGGTAAGTTTATGAATAATTTGTTGCAGTTACACAGTGTCTTGCAAAAGTATTCTGACCCTCTCACAGTTTTCACATTTTGTTACTTTAAAGATTGAGATTGTGACATTTAAAGTTGTGGTTTATATTTGTTATACACACAGCCTTCGGTAAAATTCACTTCAAGCCCACATTTTGCTAGAACGTATGTACTGTATGTAACAACTTGGTAAGATGTTTTTTTTTCCCCTGAAGAACCTGTTTGATTATCCCCCCTTTCCGTCTCCCCTTTTTGTATGGGAGTTACTTTTACTAGTATGCATTTTATTTGTTGTTGTATTCTGAAGAAGAGTTTGGACAAATTAAGAAAACTGCAAGCTTTTAAAGACAAAGCAGTTGCTGAAATGTGATGGATGGAGAAGTGGGTCATTTTTTGTTCTTTTTAGCCATATTGAACCAGCAGGTGGCACTCTCTCCCAGTATGGTAACTAGGCACACTACCTCAGAAGGGCTGAGATGTTAATCTTAGTTCTTTATATACAAAGGTTAAATAAAATAAATTCATTTATTTCCTTTTTTTAATTATATAATGTTAGCATGCCCGAAGGGGTTGGGCAACCAGTTGACCTTGGACCCCTAGAGTTTTTTTTTCTCTCCTTACTAAGGAGTTTTTGGTTCCTCTCCTCCGTTGTCTTCTGTTCTGTATTGACAAAATGTATGGTCACTTGCATTGTTGGGCCAATCTTGTTGTGAAAGGTGCTATATAAAAATAAATTGAATTGAATTGAGTTTGAAGGTGCCAGGAGGATTTTCACAAGAGCAAGGCATTTTACCCCTAATGTCATGACTGAATCCATAAATTGGTTAATAAAACTGGTCCCTACATTAATTAGGACTGAGATCCCCCACTCCCCTATGCCATCTTCTCAGAAAAGAAAGAACCTTTAAGTCAGATTTTCTGATTAAGGAAAGGCTGAACAAAATAAAATCCAAATTTACCTTCTGTCGTTTGTAGATATTCTGCAGAGGAGCCACCTCACAACCCTTGTGTGCTCCGAACACTTTGCACATGGAACATGTGGGCGTCTCACAGGACAGGCAGTAGATGTTGATCTTCTCCTCCTCATGCTCTTCACACAGCAGATGCTGCTCTGATTTTGTATGGATTGGTCTGAAAAGAGGACACAACAGCATTTAGAAACAGCATTAGAAAGCAAAGATGAAAGGGATCACAGGTATGCTGTGGTATCGGTTCTGTCAGTCTGTTGCACTCGCCCTTTATTAAGAAAGCTTAAAAAAAACAGGAATAAATGATAAACTGCAATGTTGCTACAACACATATAAAATTTCACAAACACAACAGACAATTGATCCCTATCATACAACTAGGGACTGTGAAAATTACGGATTTCCCATTTTTTCTTTTTTTTCAATTCATATGGCTGTTTCAGGCTAGTAGTTAATTTCTTCAGGTAGGTAACTGAATGAGAATTCTGAAATACTTGAGTGAATGGCAACAGTTTACAACAGGTAAGATTTTATCATCTGTTACAGATCTCTAACCTGTAATATCTACAGTCAGAACAGGAACTAACACTTCATTAGAAAGACGGAGCCTTTTAGAAAAAAGATTTAGTAGGTATACAAGGGCTTTGATCGGCTATTTATGGTCTAGAGATGAAGGAAAATACATGTGCAACACTTCCAAAACTCTGTGTGTTCTCCCATTCGATTGTTAACTAGCCCAAGCCCTTCTTAGCGAGATTTGACAAGAGTTAAAGCTTCTAGCAATATTTTATTCTGAAGTAAAACACAATATACTATATCTCTCTCTCTAGGGTTGTAAATAATTCAATCAGATTAAAAATTAATTGTGGTTAGAAAAATTAAGAAAACTGAGAACAGGAGGTATTTACACAAAGGGCTGTGTGGTTCTGGAACAATCTACCATAGCATGTTTTCAAAGCCAAAATGCCATCTTCTTTCAAGAAATGTTTGGATAAGATTCTTGGATGAATTATGTTTAGGAAGAGGCCAAATAGTCTCTTCTCATTGGTAAACTGTGTAAACAATCATGTCATATCTAAAGTACAAAGCGATACAAGATTCAACTTCTTACTTTTGCTCAAAGAGCTTGACTGGACATTATCTTCTGAAGGCTGGATCTTTTTATAGATTATAAACTGAAAGGTTAGTGCAGCCTTTTTACTTATAATGCCTTATTGATTTCCCAAAGTAATTATAAATTATAAAAATGATATTTAGAAAGGAATGTACTGTACTTCTCTTTTACCATGTTTGTAAAAATCAGCTGTTTTAGAAACTGAGAAATGGTAAATAATCTATGGCACTCCATTGAAATCCCATCTTTATTTCTGTCAATTCAACCCTGGTTCTATAAACTTAAAATTTCACTGTGACCAATTAAGCAGGTGAATTATTCAAGTAATTTTAGGATCAAGGATAATAATTTGTTTTTCCCATTCTGGCCAGCCCATTCCTCCTGCCTTATTGATGCTTTAAGAAACGTTTAATAATAACTTTTAATATTTTCACATTCTGATGTTTTTTGCCAAATGGAATCTCACATACAAAGACAAGTAATCCATTTGCATAGTTAGCTTAGGTTTCTATAGCCAGGTCAGGCTATCTTTCACAGATAAGGTGGTATCTTTGGAGCATCAGCTGTTACTTGCTTTCTGCTCACTATAATCCTTCCATCAATTTCAATAAAGTTTATCTTGGGCTTATCTATCCATAAATCTTTGTTCCAAAATTCTCCTGGCTCATCTTTGCACTTCAAACAATTTCTGAAGCATAGCATTGTCATGCATAACAGTCTCTGGAACTTTCCCAATCAGAAGTTAAGAGAAATATATATATGACTGTGCTCGTTATTCATATAAATCTTAATCACAAATAGTGATTAAGTATTTGCTTGACTTAAAGCTGAAATAATAGTCTTGAATTTGCAGTCCTAGTACCTTTGGAGAATACTGTACATCCTTAGTAGGAAAAAGAACAAAATCATATCTGCATACTTCAGGAACAACTTTAATCTTTATTTTAAAATGGGTTGTCTTATAAAAAAAAATGAAAACCCCTTTTACTTTTGCAGTGAAGGTAGGACTGGGAATTGGAGCAAAAAGGAACTGCCAAAGGCATTAATCAAACTTCAATCAGGACAGAGCATCGGTACATGGTGCCTCCACCAAACTTTTTATTCATATTGTGGATGTCAAGGTGCTGAGATCCTACAAAACTTGTTTAGATAAAATCCTTGGGTTGATAATTTACTGGGCCCAGATTTTCAAAACGTTGGAAATCAGATTTTGCCTTATGGCTAGGATTATATCTCAGATTTTAGTTTTTTTAAAACATTAAAATGCCGTCAGGTTGATCGTTTTCAAGATTTCTTTTAAGTCAGTCATCCTTCCGTCGTGTATTTGATTGCAATTAAAAGTTGAATTCTTGTTCTGCAAAATATGAAAGAGGTTTCAGGATGACTTTTCCAAGATACCAGGATTATTCTGTTCCTGCTCCGAAGGTAGATGTAGGTCAGTAAAGATCATAGAACATTCAGGTTTGAATTACAATGGAGAACACAAATGATAAATGTGAATATTACATTATGTTAAACTATTATAGTATGCATTTTGGATCTAGATTTGTGTTTATTTTACCACACATCTCCTTTAAAATGCATTTGACGTAAGTGTTTCTTTACTAGATCCTAATTTAGCAGACCTTTTTCCTATTCCGATATATATTAGCATTAAACTATAATCAGAATTATTTTAAATATCATTGTTGTGAGATATCTATATTTCAGCCCTGTTGAAACGAATGTTGTTGGAGTCTCTTTCAACAACTGGTGAAAGTACTGAGAATGTAGATTCTGAGCAGTGTCACTTAAAAGGATATCACATGGAAAAAAAAACCCACCCCAAACCAGTCTGGTCAGCATGAAGCAGGAGAGTTAAGAGGTTTCCACTCAACACTGCGAAACACATGACAAAACTGTTTGGTACCAGATAACGCTGTACAGTACCGGACTACGCTGGTTCTTCAGAGCACACAGTTGTGCTGCATGTTGGTGCTTTTATTTTTGTTTCCTGTGTACCTAAATACAAACTTGAGGGCTCTGAATGCAGTTTATCCTTCATAATGCACTGCAGAACTCAGGAAATACAGCAACTTTTAGTGAATAAATGAGGCCCAGACCTGGTGGACTCTTGCTTGTAGATGTCAATAATGTTTTCCACCAGTAGGTTCCTCTGTAAGCCGTAGACGCCATGACGATCCAGGACCACCTCATGGCGGCAGGAAGGGCATCGGAACCGCCCTCCTGTTGACATGGACGCGGAGCCCCTTGACTGCCACAGGGGGTTTGATGCCTGTGGGGAGGAAAAGGAAGACCTGGTGTCCAATGGAAAGCTCCGGAAAACAGTACCCCTTGTTTAGGAGCTTCCTTAGAACCCAGCACTGCTTTATTTCTGTGGCAGCCTGAGAGTGTAGACATATGGTTACAGAGTGAGAGTGCAACTGTCAGGTTTTATCTTTAACGTTTTTGAAAACTTTGGTGCAGCATCTTAATCCAGAAATATCAACATGAAGGGTATGTTTAAGGCACGACATTTCACTGGGCTGAGTAGACTTCAGTACTGATGTCTTTTTCATTAAAAAAAATGAAAATATGATATATAAGTATATAACATGTTTGTGTAAGGTGTCTGTGACATGCTAATTATGAACAGATCTCACATTGTCACTTACTATTATAAATTAGGGTGACTAATGTTCTAAATCAAGCATTATGCCATGTCTTATCAATGTAATAATGTAAATCAAATGACATGTTAAATATAAAACAAAATGCCTCTATGGTCATCTGAGCATGGTCATATGGGTTCTTCTTTCCTGGCACAATTTTATATTTTATAGGTAAAATAAGTTGAAGACAAACCTAAAAGAAAGATAATGCCTATAAAGCTAACACATCAACACAAATTGTTTTGTGTTTTTTCAAATTTGTAACAGACTAGTCGATGAGTCAAGGTCTTGTACAATCCAAAGATTCCATCACTTGACCCCTGAAACACAGACCTATCCTTGAGACATAGCACATTGGGAAGTAATGCTGGTTTGTGTATAACCCTCCACAGGACAACCTGCTATCCTGTAATAGCTAAATTACAAAAATTATTGCACTGAACCTTTGATTAGAATATACCCACTTAGTATTGAAATACCTCTGGTCTCTTCCGAGCTCAAAAATAACTAGGTTTTCAATTTTCAAACAGCAGGAGTTTCGGTCTGTTTGAATGTGAAAGTCACTCACAGTGTCAAGTTTCTTCATCTCAGGGGGTGACAGTAAGCATTATGGAAGACCCTACATCTGATGTACGAAGATGGTCTTGTTGGAAAACCTGGACCAGCTGTTCATCTTTTAACTTGCTATTTGAGTTACCTTGCTTAGACATCTTTCACAAAGGTCACTGCTAAACTCCCACTCCCAGGAAAGAAGTTATGTATATGTGGGTGTAGATTGTCAGCATCGATTTTCTGTGCCTAGCCCACTACAGCTACTTAATTCATTCCAGTTTACAGTTCTGCCATAGTGATACTGGGTTATTGTAGGCCAACTAATCCCTCCAACTGCCCTGTAAGTCTTCACCCTGCATAATTCGGCAGACAGACTGGAGCCAATCAACAGGTGGCATATGCAAACTATTATTTAACCTTAGTTATTAGCCTCTATTTGCTAGATGGTAAAGATGTTCAATGGCAAGGTAAATATCCATATTGGTATAACTATCACACAACCCTATTATCACAAATCTTCACAGAAAATAATTAGAAAAAAATCTATGAAATACAGTAAATCTATATGAAATTGCACAGGAATTAGAAGAATTAGTAAACAAAAGTGAGAAGTATAATGTTATTCTGATCTGCTTTAACTCAAAATTTTAAAATACATATATTTGATAACAAAATTATTACATCTAATACTGTTGTCACGCCTATTAAAAATAGAGGTAAGCTGACTCTATAAAATAGAATAATATAATAATTTGCCAGTTTTGCAGCTGTGACAACACCCCCTGTGTAAACTGTTGCTCGGCATTAAATGTGCTGTTGTACCTAACACTTAGATTCACATTAAGTATGTTGAGCCCTACTACTGCCAGTGCGGCACCATTCAATAAACTCTTGTGAAGACAAAGACAAATTTCCTTATACTGTAGGTAAGATATATGTTCTAGGCATGTTAAAGCAATTTATGAAAAGGTGCATTCTCAAATGATGCTATGTAAATAATGTACATATTGATTTATAATAGCAAATTGATAGGTGAAAGGAAATGAACACTCTGAAATACCCACAAAAGCACTACACAGCCCTTAGAATAAAATAGTTTAGTGATCTGAAAGGAAGGCGGAAACATGATGTGAGGCCTGACAGTAATTTGTGTTCAAGAACATCTTGAGTGTTCCTTTCTGTTCTAGACTTTGAAAGTAGTCTTACCAAAAACTATATCATGAGGGAAACCAAGAACCCAGCAGGTATCTAAACTTTGTGAGACAACATACACAAATAAAAGGAAAGACTCGACCATGAACTGCTACCATGAGGCATGCAAATGGAAATGAAGTATTTATCATTCTGGAGTGCTGAAGGAAACTGAAAAAAGACCATCTTAGTTCAACCTTTAATCTCCAATAGGACAAAAAGGTTGCAAAAAAATCAGATAAGCTAGTTCAAACAGTGTATTGTGCTCTAACCCGAATTTCCTTTTCTGTATTTTGTTTGTTGAACTTCAGCCTCCTCGGCTCTTAAGTTATCATACGGGAGACTGTGTTGACAGTATGTTTACATTCTTCACAGACAGTTTGTCCTCCCGTCATCCACTGAGCCAAAAATACAAAACCCAGCTCTCTCAACTCCTTCTGTGATAGAAAATACAGATGATTTGTGCGATACTGTCAAATAAAAGTTCAACTGAAGCCCAAGAGACCTCAAAGAGGTCAAGGGAAGCTTGTCTTTACCATCATTTTGGCACCCACTGTCTTTAATACTATTACATTATGTTGAAAATCCTAAGTCACTTACACAAAAAAAAAGAAACCCTTACCTGGAAGACATCATTTGCACACTTCCTACACAGGTTGTGCTGGCAGGGCAGTATCACCACAGGTTTGGTGAACATTTCCAAGCAGATGGGGCAAATCAATTGCTTCTCCAAGCTGTCCATTGTGTTCAAGTCCCCCAGCAATGGTTTGTAGCCCAGCGCAAAGTTCATCCCCTCAAGAGTGCACGGCCAACTCTCTGAAAATCGTTAAATGTAACTATCGACCACTTCCCTCCTATTTCTTTCTTGCCCTCAGTCTTCTGCTCTGTTCCTCAACGATGCCTTCAACAGAATGGTTCTGTTATTTTAGCAACACTTTGTTCTGGCTAGAGTTACTTTTTCTCTAAACCTCACACTACACAGGGACTGGGATGTCCCCTCTGGCCAATGGCACTCAGATGTGGGGGAGAACAGCATTCCTTGTTCCATTTTTAACTTCTGAAATGTGATAAGGGGAATGACTGACAGACCATTTGTCAGGCCTGGATCAGATGTTTCTCAGTCACGGAGCCATGAGGGACTGCTGGAAATGCCAGCACCAACGACATGGAGTATTTAAACCGTAAACACTGGGAGGAAGACAAGAGGACATGATCAGAGATGCCAAATGAAACCTTGGCCTTTAACAATTCAATCACCTTGTTCTCTGCAACAAATCTCTGCAGTATTGTATTTCAGTACGTAATTAAAAACTATATTTCACAGCTTCTTCCCAGCAGTCAAAAACATTTCTACTTTAAAGCTGACCTTAGAAGCTTTGGCTGTGGTTATAATCTTATCATGGTTTTCAGCTCAGCCCTGAGAATTGAACAAAATATAAACAAGTCAGTGCAAGATGACAGCCTTTATGCTGTTGAGTGATTTAACAAGTTTACAAAAGGTGGATTATAACAGAAAATATTATCCCTCCAACCCCCTTTTAATTAAAAAAACTAGTAAAACATTGCATTGCTTATTGGAAATTAAAACATTTACAAGTGACAATTCCAAAAAATATCTCCAAGACGTCACAGAAATGTCTTTATCCATTTTTCATTTCAGATTACGTACGGTCACATGTCCAAGACTTGTTATATTTATCTTCAAATTTTGACCTTGCAAATCATTTTAAAATGGTAATTAATACAATCGTTATGACTCCAAAATTAATGACTCATCATTTGCCAGATCTTATGGAACACAGCCAATCCGATTTGGAACAACTCCGTCTTCACACCCAGCAGATCCTAACGTCATTTGAGTCTTTCATCAGAATTGCAATTTTCAAAGCTCTCACTTTGAGGTGTACAACTGATGACTAACAGTCATTATTAATAGAGATGTTGTCTCTTTCTGTGTGTGGAGAGGGACTATTACTAAAACTACACTCCAAGAGTTTCAACTCCGAAAGGAAGATTAAGAAAAATTCAATCAAAAGAGAGAAAATCTTATTACCGTACTACTACTTAGCCTCCTGAAAGCAGAACTCTGAAGACACCCACTAAGTAACGAAAGAAAAAATGAGCCACACCAAACTTGATATAAACCCCACCTCCCCTCCCTTTATTTGGTGGTATAAATATACATGTTTGCAAGTCAGGTCTGTATAAGGACATTTGGAACAATAAGAAAAAGAAAAATAAGGGAACAATAATCAGCGAGACCAAAAAAAACAAGTATTTTACACAACATTTGTGAAGAAACCTAAAACAAACAGACTTCTCTGCCAGCATAACCAACATTACCATAGATACTCCTTATTTCTTAAGCCTCAAACAACAATTCCAATTTTTTGGCTACTGTCAGCTCTCCAAAACTGCCAATAAACATAATACATTCATTAAAATTAAACTTTATATATAAACTAAAAAGTAAACATTAAAATGGAAAGAATTCTTAAAATATCTGCCTTGACATCTTGTGGAGATGAATCTGTCATTTTCTAACTTAATTATTGGTAGTTAAGATTGCTAGTTGCCAGTACAAAACCGTGATTTCCACAAAAATATTGATTGATTGCTGACTGTTAATTGTATGATTTATTTGCAAACAGATTGCCATAACCTCCGTTACATAGATTTAAACAGAAACATTGTTAAATTTCAAAATTGAATAAAGCTAACTAGTGCTTGAACCTCGGTCCCAACTGTAAATACTGTACTTAAAGCAAAACCTTCTAAGCCACCAGTGAAATTATCTATTTTACTTTTTTAAACAGTTGTACACAACCATATTAAAAATTTGTTAACTAGAATGAACCTTTTCCCGAGAAAGAGGCCCAAGACTAACATCTAGTGCAGCTGGTATTTTAATATTTATTTTTGACAGCAGTCCCTGCCTTTAAACATAGTTTAAGATGGTGCATTTTTAAAACGGATTTCAGGAGAAGAAATCTGTGAATTATGAGATAAGTGGATTTTGCACTTTGTGGTTTTACAAGTTATTTAATTGATGCACTCATTCTGTTAACACTGATACTTCTGTATTTCACTAAAGTGCTGCATCATCAGTCACAAATCAATAACAAAATCTAATGACACAAAACCAATTGGCATTTTACTATAAATGAAAAAAGTATAAATGCTGTTATTTACAGGTTTCAAGGTGGGTAGTCAATTCAAAATTAAATTACAAAATCAGGGCACTTTATTATTGCCATTTTCAACTGTGCTCTGTGGCACAATATAAAGTGGCCTTATAGACTAGATACATGTATACTAAATTGCTTATTTGGGATAAGTTAGATGATGGAAACACATTTAAAACAAAAAAAATCAAAATGAACAACATTTAAAATCTAGGTTTCCTAATCCATGATCATCACTAAATAAAACCATGAAATAGTTTTGGGGACAGATGATGGGCAAACCACAGAATTAGAGAAACCACATTGCACCACACAACATACAGCTGAAAAATACAAAAAGACAGCCAACAACAGTATTTGGCAAACATTCACAGTTTGTTAAAAATGCTGCAATGACACCAAAACCCAGAAATTTACTGAATGTGCTCAGCTCCCCAAAGTACAAAAAAAGTAATGGAAAACTATACTTATTAAATATCCAAACTATGAATAAGCTGGAGGACTTAGAAGGATTTGCACACAGTCTTGTGTTTAGAGTTCAAGCAATAAAAATGTCTAGCACTGAAAAATAGTTATCTACCTCGCTCATCTCATACTCACAATAGTTTAAGGACAGAGACAAAAACATTTAGACCATTTATGTGAAGAAAATGGCCTTCTTGTTACAACAGTAGACCAGTGTTAAATTATCAGCAAGTAGCACAGAAAGCAAAAAAAACATACATTTGGCATAGCAGTCTTTTATGCTGCATATATTGTCCGAGTGAAGCTTCCTGACTACACAGCATTACTTTAAAGAAAAGTACAAAAGGCTTGAAACTCTTTTGATTGATCCAGAATCCAGAAACAAAGTTCCTTCAGTAGCAGCACTCCAAGAGGTTGTGGACATAAAGTGGTCAGCACACATAACCCCGTCCTGCAGATGACTATGAGCTTGGCGTGACTCATATCTAACATACCAAAATCTTCCTTCTTGCTAGTCAAAGGCTAATGGAGCCTGAGGCCACTCTGTCGCCTCTGTACAGCACCAATACCAGAGCCCAGAAAGCCATCCTCTCAGTCACTCCAAAAACTACACTTTCCACAGCTACTACACAAAGGCTGACTATCCACCCAATACAACTAATTAGAAACAATGTAAATACACATTCCAGCACATCGCTGGTAATCCTTTCCATTAATTATGATGCCTTTTTGGTTTCCAAAAAAAAGGCCCTGTAGATTTTCATTTTGGTAGAAAAGAACCCAGAACCATTTCTTTAGGACTCTGAAATCTCACAAAAAAAATCTATTTTAATTTTATCCAATTTCCATTAAAATCAAGTACTTTAATCCTACACGGAGGGCCTGACAGGTACGAGATCTCTGTACCAGAAGCAGGAGGCCGTTTTATAATGCTCTCTTCACTCAGGAACTGGCACAGATCTCGGTGTCTTAAACCAAGGTGGTTATTTGATCAAAAACTACAATTATGTTTTGATTTTGGTCAAGCATTTATATTTTAGCATAGCACCTACATATACCTTTCGGTTTTGGGCTACAAAATGTAATGAACGGTCAAAGTAGAATTAAAGTGCTACTTTTTTCATTTAAAAAAAAGGTTGACTGGGTGATTTCTGCTTTTTATTAGGAAAAAAAAAGCAACACAACCTTGAGCTTGTAAACACTTAAACCCTCTTAAGTGAGACTCCAGAGAACTACAGACACGGCAAAGATTCTTGTTACATGGCACAAGGTCAAAACGTACAACAGAGGACATGCATCAGGTACATGCACTTAAGACACGAGCACATCCACCTATCCATGCAACAGTATCAGGATGGCACTTGGACAAAGTTTTGACCTGATAAACTGAAACTCTTTCACATCTTGACTGGGCTGTTTTGGTACAGTAGTAATTCGCTTTCCAATACCAGAGCAACATTACACTTTGATGGTGGCAATAATTGTTCCCCAACACATTTTTTTTTCTTTGTCAAGAGTGCCACATTATGCTTCATATCACATGCCATTAACTTTCCTAACCATAAACGTGTGGGAAATCACATAGGTATTGGCATCTGCGAACGTCAAGGTAGGAAGTCTTTCGAAGGGCTGGTGCTGCTAGTTAGTTCTCGGTCACGTAGCTGAGCTTTTGGCCTGTGGAAAGCTGGGTGGACTCTGAAGTGCAGATTGTGGAATGTGGCTGAATCACAATTGGAGGTCTTGTATCTGAAAAGAAAGACAAGTTTAGATGGCATATTTCACCATCTGAGCAAAGACGGACAGCTCTCAACTACACTCCTATCTTTCGCAACAATCATGTCTGTCTTCCACAGTTCTGTCCAAAATTGCTTTTTATCCTTGATATTGATATGAGGTTTTCAGCTTACAGAATACAGTTGAAGTAAGGATTTAACAAATCACTATGACTAGAAATCACTCCAAACCTTCCTTCTAAATCGTGTTGATTTAACACAGGCTGAAAAGGGATGACTCATCTTGACCAAGTTCAACCCAAATAATTCACTTTGAACCAGTGGAACAGCAGAGGAAACAAGGATGCAAATCAAATCAGTTGCATCAAAAACATGTACTTCACTGTCATTTTCTACTGAAAAAGCTTGCTTCAGAACACATAAGCACTGAGGAGCAAACCTACCTCCCCTGAAACAGCTCACCCACGTGTTCACTTGAGTCCTTTCCAGGGAAGCACGGAATAAAATGAGAAGAGTATATTTCATGACACTATTTTGAAAACCCCATTTCAAAACTAAAGTCCAGTGCTCCTACAAACCAAGGTACGGTTAAAGATGAACACTGCCTTTATCTTTCCTCAAGCAAAAGAGGTTTACAATGGAAACCTTTTAAAAGAAGGTGGTTGATACAGTATAGCAATGTTACAACATGGTATTTTCTCTCTCATATTCAGCAAAGACAGTTGTCTCCAATAAATCCCAATAAGTCTTTTAATAAGTCTCCATGGATCATATCACCTATCACCTGGACTGGATTCTCACTTTTGGAGGAAATCCCTGATTATATAACTGAATAAAGAACAGTTTCACAATAGAATCAGCAGTTCGTGAGCAGATAATGCAATTTCTGAGGCTTTCTTTAACGAGATGAAGCATGGGTTCAGATGTTAGTTAAGGTTAATCAGTCTTTGTAACAAGCAGCAATATAAAAACAAATCAAAAACAAATTGTCGTTACTTTCCATTTAACACGCAGACCATAGACAGACAGGTTGAAGCAGCAAGATTTGTTTTTGATCAGCCCTCTTTTCGATCAAGTACTGATATAACCACAAAGGGAAAAAGGCTCTACTTTTCCAGGGCTTGCATGACACTCAAGACTCAACTGATGAAATATTAGTGATTTTACTTTAGTCCTCCCGGAAGAATGCAAACCAAGATTAAAAAGATTATTAGAGCACTTAACCATTAAGAAGTTTGGAAAATGGATATTGGGGTTTAGACTGAACTACAGCCTCCATCAACTAGGTTAAAGTAAAAAACAACATCAATACCCTCATTGCAACCTGAAATACAATCTTTTTCTGGAAATACTAAAATCTGATGACTGTTTCCCAAAATCTATATTTAAATTAAATATTGATTGACTTGGGTCGTTCACATATCTCAATCTGTTGATGTTCTTTCATCCACATGCACAAGACATTCACATACAAACAAAAGGAAATGCATTTTATCCAAAAGAAATGGACAGGAATACATCATACTTTAAGAATTTTCTGACACAAAAACATTGGCAAGACCGCAAAAAATGAGACTGTGCAAGTGCTAATGAACAGCCAATTACGCAAGCAGAACACTTCCAATGAAAGAGAGCGGTTAGTTAGCATTAAATGTGGTGCAGGTGAACTTTAAGTGGTTAATGCAAAATTCAAACAAAAATGTTAACGTGAGTGACAGAGGATCGGATGGGATACATGAGCAAAGCGCCTTGTCATGCAAGGTGTAGCCATTTCAGGGGAGGCAGCAGCAGCAATCATTGCCATAGACCCCGACTAGGAAAAACCCAGTGAAGGGTGCTTACAAATCATTTTGACTCCGGCAGAGTTTCACCTGAGTTTTCGGGGGCTGAACTAGGGACAGGCTGTGCAATTATAACGTTGTCACCTGATGAATGAAAAAAAAAACAGTAATTTTAAAGTTCACTAGAAGTTCATTTCTCATTGAATTCACTGACTTACACACTGGATATCTGTTACCCTTACTAATACTAAATTCTGTATCTGTTTGCCAAGATAAATTGCTATTCTGGTAAAAATATTAAAGTACAATACTAAACACATTAAAAACTAAATTAAAAAGGAACTAGTATTTTTAAAAGACAATAATCATAACATACAGGGTTTAGAAAATAGAGCATCACAATCACCATGTTGGTATAACTAATTTTTATTAGTGACATTCTGATTTTTAAACTTTAAAGTCCCAGCACACCCATTTTTATGAAGCAACTCATGTTTGTCAGGGTATCGTTGCACCGAAAGCCACTAATAATCCCCCTTCTCCAAACCCCTGCCTGGCATTTCTCCAGCAGGGACAAGTGACAGAGAAGCAGTCTCGAAAAAACGCACCTCATTACAAACACAAACCATATTTGGTTTTAACCAAACCATACCTTGGATGTGGGAGTTATTGCAGACAAAACCTCTCTCTTTCCTTAAGGGGTGCTCTCCACTTTTAGAGGCAATTTTCTCAATTTTCCAACATCAAAACTCAGTTTAGTAATGGCATTCCAACTCTAAGTAGAATGATTTTTAAACAAAGACCTAAAACCTAAGAATATGACCATAAACTCTAGAATTGCTTTCCTGGGAACTACTACAGCACTTTGACTTTACAATACAATACTGCTCCTATATACATATGTTAAAATATGAACAAACACGATTTCATTTACAAGATTATGAAGCAAAAAGGGGTCCAGATTTCTTATGTGCAGTTTATAGCATAGGCACAGGATCTTTATTCTCTCTTGCTCATCAAATCTCTCCTTCGGCGATCCTCAAAAAATAGCTTTTAGTCATTTGCCTATTCTCCAGGGGATTTCAAGAAGAAGTTAACCAAGATTTAAATGCAGAAGTTAACAAAAAATGGATTAAAAATCAGGAACTTCATCCATCACACTGAACGATCTTGGGGAAGGGGTTCAGATGGGTGATGAAGTTCGTCTCAGGTGCGTGCTGAGAGATGTCTGAGTGGCCGTTTTCTGTCCCTGTGGTCACCACAGCCCTACCCCTCCAGCAGGCAGAGCAACAATCACCGAAGAGAACCCTGGTCCCCATTGCACCTAAGTGACTGGGGCACAATCTGATGTCTTGCTGGGTTTTTAACGAAAAACTAAATAATGTATGAAAGGACAACACAGGCCATTAAAGCATTTTGTTTAAATCCACAACCTCCTTTCCTAATAACAGGACCAAAGCCCATTCCTGCCATTACTCAAACAGAACCTGAATGAGTCAAAGCCTGACTCATTCCCCCTTTTGCTCATCTATTTATAGCATCAAGGCAAGAACACTTGTCTCAGGAAAAGGTATTTTAGTGTGGGTGACTAAGCCCCCTTGATAGCAGAACAGTCACTGGTAATTAAACCTGACCTGTCTTTTCAGAGAACAGGAAGGAGCTCCTGTAGGGTTGTTGTGCCAAGACGTCATAGGCAAAGATATAGTGCACATACAGCACTTAAAACTATCTTGCACATGTACTAAAAGTGATATATTGTACTTTTATAATGATATGGAATAATAGCTACAGTATAATGTTTTAGAATAATAGTTATTTGCAAAACGGGCTGAATGGCCTTCCCTCATTTGCAACCTTTCTTATATCTAACCATATTTCTGAATAAATGAAGACAGCTCCTAACTCCTCTGCTCATTTCTCACAACTCATAGCTCCTTCTGCCTCTTCAGAGCGAATTAAAAAAACTGCCACTTTTTTGATCCGACAGGACACAATGGTACTGTAATGTGTACAAAGGTTTTACTTCCTGTCTGTCGTTAAAATCAAACCTCCCTTTCACTGTACTGTGTGATTTCAAAACAATTCTCCCCTAAGAAATATGCAGGACCAAGCATGTCGATTTTATTTATTGAGTGCGGTGCTCTGAGGTTTTTTGCTTAGATTGTTCTTGGTCAAGTGTATTGCTAGGAGGTGCATGAAGCTCTCACTTTCGGGTAGAACTATACCAGTGTCCATTAATAAAGCAAGGTACATATTGTCCAGTATGCTTTTTGGTCAGGTGCCAAACAAATGACAGTTACACTGAGATAATCTGTTATTGCAAATAGGGGAACAATGCAGAACAACAGCAAATAGAATACAAAACGTGCTGTACAAGTTTGAAATAGAAAAAAGGGTAGGATGTCAATTACTCCTTTTCAGGACTATTCATCCTAGTGATGAAGCAACAGAAGAAAATGAATTAAAAATACAATATGAATAATCAGTGCTAAGCATACTTAAAGGCTTGAAGTAAGACATGTAACTTAATACAGAGCACCTAAGAATAAAGAGACTGATGTCATTTCATCGTTATTCTTATACAGAAACAGCCTTGGTATTTATCCGATTACATCACGAAATTGAGCCTGGAAATTCTCAATTTCATTGTGAAATCAGATTTTACTTTTAAATGTCATTTATTTGTTAAGCCTCTTCCACCACTTCAGTAATTTAAAGCAATATGCACCTATACATTTTCATTTATTACAATTAGGAATTGTTCATGCAATGAATGGAGTAACTGCTATGATCCCCATGAAAACACCCCATAGCTGGAACACCTGTGGTCTCCAGAGCTCCTGCACTTCAAAAGTAACTCACTAACTCCACCTAACTATTTTTATTGCTAATCTTATTTTTTGAAGATGGCAGAATGACATCCTTGTTTCTCCAAGGTCTGCAAGGTCTAAGAACCTAATGAATTTAAACTAAAAGACATGCATTCGCTCTCTTTACATTTGGTAGGACTTCACAAGGAAACAGAAACTGAATTCATTTGCTAGTACCTTACATACTCCTGGCTCAATACTCTCTTAAAATATTTCTCTTCAGTGCTCACTCAGAGAAACTGTAACTGCTGAGCCAAACCAAAAGAGAGAGATCTGTTCAAAGTGTTAAAGCAGCACTGCTGTGTGAAGCTTACAACAGAGCCAGCAATACTGTTTTGTGGAAAGGCGACAGTAATTATGGCTCTGAAGGCAGGTTTCAGAAAGTCACCGATTCCCCCCTCCTTCCGCCCGTGATCAGGATGGAAAGAGCCGGCGACTCACCTGCATCTTGCTCGGCTCGGATCTGGGCCTCCAAGTCCTCTGGGTCCACGTACTGGTAGTTCTCGTCGTCTTCGGCCGGTTTACACTTCCCACAGCAGAAGCAGCAGCAGCAGCAACAGCAGCAGCAAGTGAAGATGCCACAGCAGAACGCCAGGGCCTGAATCATCACCACAAAACAACAGTCAACACTCATTGGAATACAGCAAGGACACTCAACCCTCACACCTCGCTCCTGAACCTCTCCAGAGTCCAGAGACGGCAGGTGCTATACAAAGGAGCCCCACAGCATCATGTCACAGATTAATCCTTAGGATTTAGACCATATCTACCAAGAAGCACCTCACCATGAAACAGCCCCCGTCTTTAAGGGTCTGGTTAGAACGCTAATCGCGCGCTCGCAACTGGTGAGTGCGAACGCTGAATCTGTTTGTGGGTGATCAGCCAGCTCTCCCTCTCTCCATTACAAACAGCACACAAAGTGGATCAGATTGGTTTTGCTGTGCATTCTCCATTCCCCCTCCCCTCCTCAACCGTCTTGGAGATCAAAGCAAGTTTTTTTTACCGCCTCAGTTAGGTTTGTACTCCTAAAACTGTGCCCCCTGCATCTGAGCCCTTCATTCACCACATTGTCTTTTCATCTTCGCGACAAGACCGTCACAGAACACAACATTCCGACTGCTACATATGATCTGCTCAACTAAGACAATTTCAGTGTGATGCAATGAAAAGCTTTGCATACTTCATAACAGAATATAAATATATACTTCACAGAGAATAAATGGGAGAGGAAAAACAAAAAAAACACTTGAAAGCAAAGAGTTAGATGAAAAATGAGATCAAAGGGTGACGGGGAAATTGATCAAATTCACTGCAGCCTCCCTGGAGTGAGAGTGAGAGGAGCAAACAACAAGCTAGGCTGAAGAAAGTGCTTTGCATTCGGCTGAGGGTTTGAGTTTGAGACTCCCACAGAACAGCAGTCTGAGCCAACGCAGATGAATGTTTAATTCCTCTTGCCTAATCCTCAGTCAACGTGTGAACAGAATTCAAGTCCGCCTTCCTACATCACGGCCATCTGTATAATAGCTTGTGCCTCATAAAACCTGAAATGGAACAAACTGGTATGCAGCTGGAACTTTGCTCCTATCCCTGTGATCAGCACTTATAGTTCGCTGATCCAATACAGCATAAATAGATCATAACAGGCTAAAAAAAAAGTTTCCCTGTAAAAATATTAGACTTTAAACATGTTTTAACCACCTCTCTAAATGATCATCAACAGCTGTGGTTCCTAAAAAAGGCTTACCTTCAGAATTGTGACAATGTATTTTTTTAAACTAGCCCTTCACCTGATGCAGCGTTCATTTTTGTCACTGTAGAGAACCACAGCAACTGCCAGGAAGAAAATACCTGAGTGCCTAGATCTCTGTTTTAATACCCATCATGTGTCTAATTTCATATTAGTCCTTCAAACTGGCTTTGTACAGTTGGTCAATGGTCAAAATCACCGTTATGCAAGGCAGCTCAGTAGTTAATCATTATTACCACAAGAGGGCAGTCCTTAAAAGCCTCAAACGCAGATCCATGCTCTGTGTGGTGCTTTTGCTATATTTTGCTTGCTTTGTATGGGATCTCTGACATGCAGCAAGGATACAGACCTTCAGACAGACAGACATTCAACAGACATTCTATCATGAACCATTGTCTACACAATCACACAAGGCACATTTTACAAGAATCAGTCATTCAACTCCTCATTCCTCCTACTGTGTAGATCACTCGGTATCTGACATATCTGACGCAGAGCTAACCTTGGTAGACAGAATGCAACCTTTGTAATCAATAGCAGTGGTTATTATTGACTGAACAGCAGCACAGCTGTCATTCTCCAAAAATGACAAATGTATGATGTTTGGTTGTTTGCAGACTCATAATAATGGTATGCTGTTGCTTTTGAGACCAATTTTAAAACATCTGGAACTTTGCACATAAGGGAGTATGACGTAAATTCCTACTAGGTACTTACAAGGGTAAATCAATTAGGTTAAATATCAAAATAAACCAAAAAGGAAAATTTAAAATATAGCAACTAACACTCTACACACTATTCTACAATATTTTCCTTGAACAAAATGTTTGGTTCAAGAAAAGTCTTGAACCAAGTCCAAGTTCAGTTTTAATTGGACTTGAGTAATGGACTCAATTTTTGAGTAGAGCAATCTCATTTCACTGTTAAGAGGAACAGAATATTATATTATTTAAAACCAAAGAGCACTAAACTTTTGTATTCAATATAGGGCAGTGGTTTAAATGAGTTATTTTGAAACATACTGCTTTCAATGTTAAAATTACAAAATCTTACTGCATACCACTATCCTGCTAAGGTCACTGATTAATTACTTCCAGATTATGGTTTTATTACCATATTGCTTGAAACATGCTTTAGAACTCAAATCATTTTTCTTTCCATTAAAGCACAATAGTACAAAGCACTTACAGTAACATTCTAAAAATCTGCAACAGTTAATTGACATATCAAATTATAAAAGTGGCCTTTAAACAAAATGCTTAACCATCCAATCTTGTTTTTCAGATTACAGACTTCAAACCAGTGGTGAATAATTCTGGTCCACAAAGGCCACTATCCAGCAGGTGTTATGCTTTAAAATCAACTTGACCAATTAAGCAAATAAGGAGTTCAATTAAGTAATTAAGGGTTAAGGTGGAAATAAAACCAGATACCTGCTAGCCTTCAATGACTGGAGTTGTACACCCCTGCATTAAATGTTGTATACTAGAATTTGACCTAAAGGCCTGTTTAGCAAATTGAATTAAATTGAATACAGAAAAGTGAAAAATAAAAGATACAAGCAAAATTGACCAAACAAAATACAACTGAGAACATTTAGAAAAAAGACGGTAACAGAAAATACCTGACATTTTTACAACATTATGTAAAATCCTAAAGATTCCCACATTGTGTCTGAGATATTGCTCATTCAGAAGATGCCACCTGTATGTTAGGCCTTTTAAAAGATATAAGTAACACCAATATCAATAAGACACAAGCTCTTATAAGAGCACCTACCTTAAACCACCACTTGGACATCAGAAAGTAATATTTCACACTCTCCTCGCCAAACTGCTCAGCCACGTACAGTCCCATAGAGCCATACTCATCATAGATCTTCCTTTTGTTCTCATCGTTAAGGATAGAGTTCGCATTGTTAATTTCTTTAAATTTATCTGCCGCTTCTGGGTTGTCAGGGTTCTTGTCTGGATGATACTTCAGTGCAAGTTTCCTGAAAGTTAGAAAGTAAAGACGTTAAAGCAAAACAAGTGCATTGTTACAAAAAAGCCTGTTATGATGTCAATACTGAGGCACTCAACAGAGCTCTTCAGCATTTAAGAATAATGTGCTAGAAGGTTACAGAAGCACCATGTGTGAAATCACCCTGATTTTGGCATGATAATCTTAAATTTTCTTGAAATCCAGACATTTGTATATTTGTCATGAGCAGAAAGATATTTGACAATTCTTTGCCTTAAATCCTTTCCTCCACAGGATACATGTGCCAAATTTCAGGAAAATCAGAGCTGGTCATGCCAAAATCAGGTAGTTTTTACATGGAATAATGCCTCTGCGTTACTTCTTGACCATCTAAATTTTGTTCGACCAAGGTAGCATTACGGATAAAACAACACGAGGACATGAGAAGAATAGAGGTCTAGTGCATGTGCAATCAAACTCCTAACAACTGCAACCACCTTTGCAGGGAATTCGGTGCTTTTCTAGACTGTATCGGTCCTGAAGGCTCTTAAGAGAGAAATGAAAAGGAAACTGCAACTCTATTTTTAGATTGCGGGGCTAGAAAGAACTGGCATTGATGAGTGCGTTTCAAAGTGAAATGTAAAACTTCCAAGTTACATTGCAAAATAAACTACATTTCCAGGTACGTTCAGCTTCATATTATGCGATTCAGAATGAGGCAACCAAACTTCCGGTGAGGTGAAGCTGTCCTATTACATTGTAAACCAGTGAATACATGTATTTTAATCCTATAAATATTTCTCTCGACTTCAAGATGGTTTTGCAGACAAATACCACCTAACTCTGCATGCAACTCACTGCAGTGAAACGTCTACTACACAACCTGTACTTATTCACTTGTACATCAGATTACAGTAGTCATTACAGTGGCTAGTGAGCAGGAAGGGGCCACTTCATTTTGCAATTTGCACAACTCTCGATGTCACCCGTGGTTTGCAACAAGGTACTTTCACAAAGGTAACGATTTTGTGCTTAATTCTGAAATTGTAAATTTTCCCCGACGCCATCGATTAATTTACTTTGTTACCCAGGTTTAATAGCAGAGAAATTGAGACTGCAGTTCCCCTTGAACATTTTACAAATCTGAGACTGGGTATTCCCCACCCCCTCCTAAAGCTTAAAGCATCCTCAGAGAGGCAGCAATCGTACTGATCTAGCACCAATATGGTGCGCCCGGTCTTGGTTGGGATCCAAAGTGCTCTCACAAGCACTCACATCAAGCCCACCACACCAAAAAGTAGCAGAGAGTTCTGGGGTGATTTTCCCGAAAACGATGAATCTTAGAGACTAACGAGCAACTTTACGATGTACGTACATAACATACAAGCTACTTTTTCATGGGTTTCCCAAAACCCCTCTTAATCGATCATTTAATGAGCGAGTATAAAGTACTTCTTTGTTAACCCTGCCCCTGAAGTCGCTTAGCAAAAAGCATCACAAGTTGATTGACAAACAATCGATTGACAATACTTTCATTATATGGTGTCGGTTTTGGTCCTTCAGTGTGATGACAAAGTTGTGAAAAGGAATATGAAGTAAACATGACATCGTAATTTAACAACCACTTAAGCGAAAGCGTATAGATAAGCACAAAATGGGACCCTTATTGTTTCTAAGAGAAAATCAAATAAATGACTGACATGCCGTAAAAGAAAACCAAGTTTAACTGTGTGGACAGTGTATGCGTCCTGCACGATGTCTTTGATTTAAAGCAATATATTTTGTAACGCTGCCATCGTTAAGAATCACAGTGTTTCATGAGAAAATACTGTTGTTATTTAAAGTTGTTGGGTGTGTTGGAACTCCATTTTAATTGGTCTTATTAACATGACATCTGGAAAAATTAACTACTAAGCTTGGCACGTGTCACTCAACAAATACAGGACCTATAATCAAATTTAAAAACAAGTAGGTCTAAGCTTTACTGTCAACAATCAAGACAAAACATAAAACGGCATTTCGAACTTAAAATATTTTATCGACCGCGGGTTTTGGTACGGAATGGAGCAGGCATGGGACTCAGGGAATGGGGTTGAACAACACATTTAATAACTCGAATCGGGAAAGGTACACACACAGGGACAGGGGTTACAGCGCTGCACCTACACTAACACACACACACGGAAGAGACTGTATCCCAGCCTCCGTCCCACTATATACAGTCTGGTAGTCCCCAGGTGCTGTTCTCAGCCCGCCCTGCGTGCCGCTACATTGTAATACATGTTATGTGTTTCACGTTCTTAATGGAATTTAAATTCAATTTAAACCCCACCCCAAAAGTACTAAAAGAGGGAGTATTATTAAAACATTTGACTTATGAATATGAAATTTACCCAAGATGACTAATAAATTCATTACTGTATAAATAAATGTTCTTTTTTGAATTTCCTCTTACATAGCACAACAAAATATCAAAATCCTTAATATTAAATCTTAGTATTCTATATTTCCAGAGAACTCCCATGACGTGAATTGAATGTGCTCTGTCTGGCGATCTCTGTCTCTAAGGTTGGTGCAAGACGTAGCCAGTTTAAGAAGCACTTAGTGATTAACGAGTGGGTCGGGGAGCACGTAGATTACGAATGATTTAACATTCTACTTTAGTTACGATAGGTTTTGGGAAACACTCGTAAATTAACGATTGATCTTAAGAGCAAGTTCACGATGTTCTTAGCGCTACGATGCTTTCGGGAAACTCACCCCTGAACAGTTATGAATCCTAGAGTGGTCATATTGTTATCACCATAATAATCATAAGTCCAAGAGACCTTCTACATAGGAATCTGCACAAAACCTGTTGGAAAAATAAAAACCTGCAGACCTACACACTGTAGTTCTGGTTTTGAACAATGCACAAAACAACTGTTTAAAATGAGAGAATGCATTACTTTTTATTGCAATTACTGTGCCTTTAGGTGATACACCGTGAAAGGCACTATACAAAACTAAAGTTATTATAGACAGGTTGAGATGCAAGCTCAAAGTCAGCAAGAACAATGTGAAGTTCACATCTGCCAATGACTATGCAAGAATGAGTAGACATTGAATGTTGCAAGACAACTGTACAAAACTTCTGGGGGAAAAAATAAAGCCCCAGGAAGTAGTTCATTGATTGACAGTAACCTTGGTAACATTATGGACAAACAGCCCAGAAACCCTGAAGGGCCCGAGGCTACCAGTCACTTTAGTTTAAATGTTTGCTTTGAGTCACACAGAGCCATATAAATGCAAATACACTGTAGGCAGACACAACAGAACCTGTACCAATACTTTGGTGGTAATTGTCAATACCTGTAAGCTCTTTTGATGTCTTCTGCTGATGCCCCTTTCTCAAGCCCTAGCATCTTGTATAAGCTATCCCCTGTTGTGGACATCTTTCGTTGAGGTCGGTTTTGATCTGCCATGGTTCAATTCTGCTTGGAAAGATAAACAGAAGATTGATTAGTTTCTTTCTCACAGATTTATCTCCTTAGATTTCTGAGGGCTTCAGCATGTCTTTTCAAAGTTAGTTTGTATCACTAAGATCCCATGTCTCATCCCAAGAATCTTGGTTAAACTATTGACAAAACCTTCCAACGATCTCATAACACCCAAGTTACTGGGTGTAACCACTAAATTTACATTGTGTGTATTATTTGTTAAAGGCCTGACAGTATTTTACCACATTTAAATAAAACATCCCTGTTAAAACACTCTGACACATAGCATCAAATGTTTTATTAGCCCAAAGAACATCTCAGCTTTTGCAGATTAAGAGTTCAGAATAAAAGGACTGTCCTAAACAGAATGGCACTACATCACAAATCAGCCCCTCAGAAAATGCAGGTACCCATTATTAGACAACTGGCTTAAGTGAAATCAGGGTAAGAAACTAAGCTTAACACAGCCAGTGTTTGTCAACGTGTCACGTGTCAAGAGCACAACAACTACTCTCTGCTGAAATGGATTTGAAAGTTTCAGTAAAGTCAGTTTAGCAAGAATGCTCTTATCCAAAACCTTGCTACTGGATAGAATGAATTACACACAGCTCTAATACCAAATATTATTGGTTGTGCATTTTATTTGTCTGCTTAAAATAAAACATGACAAAATATCAATGTAAAAGCTGAAGTGCAATGATGTCATTATGATGAGGGAAATAAAACCAATAATAATTATGCTCACTTTTTTCACAAACTGCATCTGTAAATTTTTTACTTCACACATTCAAATCCAAACATTCATTTTTAGTGCAGATGGAAGCACTTTTATGCCAATATCAGATGGATCTTAAAGTGCTGGCTACCACAATTACAAAATGACAGATTCACAGAGAAAGGTACAGCAAGAAAGCATAAAAAAGCAGCAAGCAGAGGTTATAAGTTAGGATTTCAAACTAGGTGGGTTTAAAATATAAAATACATGATTTAATTGTCATGAGCCTGAATTCCACTGTAAGCAGCATTTGTTCTTTAAAACCAAAGTTTTTGATGGTGTGGTCAAAACACTGTATTACAGTAAAAGTGAATGCTTCTGTTTGGAAGCGAGTGGGTCTTATCTGGCCCCGGGTAATATATAAGAGATGTACTGTATTACAACAGAGGCTTTAATGATTCAAATATAAGTGGAAAACTCATCAAAAATCTAGTTTACAACCTGAAAAATCTAACCTGTGATTAAACAATCAGTCTTCTATGTACAGGGCTGCGCACTACTAACACCTTGACAAAGCCACACAATATATAAGAATGAGGTCCCAAAGCTGTTTTTAAGAGTACCCTCAGGATCAGCTGGAGGTACTCAGGACATGCAGTTCAATCTGTTGCTATGTAGTGACATCATCGTGACCCAATGGTAAGGCCTCAGGGTTTAAGACGATAAGCTTTTTGCTGATCTTGCAGATACTTTCCACTCATGAGAAACAATACACATTAGCATGCAGAGAAATTATCGTAACCAATAACCACTGTATCAGAACACACACAATTAATAACATCAATAGGCTCAAAGACATGTCCCAAACTCAGTCTCAACATCCGACGAATCTTCCATTTTTAGATGCTAGCCAATCGATGAACAAATGTGATTAAATCTTCTGCCATGCCTATAAGTTTTCCAGGTGTGCAATTCAACCTCAAAAATGTGGTTCATCAACTGCACTGCCAGGTTATTTCATTTACCATGACAAAACCAGCATTCTGTGACCACATGGCGACCATACAGTACTTCCACAAAGTTAAGTACATAATTTATTTTGTTACCGAGATTTAAGAACTGGTCTAAGAAATTGGCACTGTAGCTCCATTCAAGTCTTCTGTGTGATTCTTTCAACTCTGTTTACATTTTTAATTGATAACAAGACTGATCAAATAACAGCTCTCAAGAAGCCATCTCAATTCTTAAGTACAACTTTGCTGCCACTATTCACAATATCAGTTCTTTCATTACAGACTGACTAACCTCATGTCTACCAGCATTCTGTATCACCATGTTCCTAAGAAAAGAACTATAATTAATAAAAAGCATTGATCATGAAATACTGATACCAATACAATTTAAGTGTATTTTTAAAATATAATACCTCCCTTTAAAATTGAGCATTGATTACCTTTTCACTAGATCCTCATTTTGGAAAAGATTCACTGCCCTCCCTCTGGGTAAAGGATTTGTCAATTATTATTAACCACAGTTAATTTTCACATCATAGAAGTAATACACTGCATACACATCTGTTGAAATAAATATTGCACAACAGTATCATTTAGCAAACTTCAGCATTGAAACTTCAGAAAAACTGTGGGATTTGTGATCAGGATTACCTGTACACTCTCCTTCAGAGACTGATGCAGCAAAGCACACAGTGGCTGGGACGTTCATTGAAAAGGAGGTCATAATAAGCAGAGTTTTATCGTTTTTATAAGGGAAACGGGATTGTTGCACACAAAGTCCCTCGGGACATCCCTAAAGCATAACGAACAGTTCCTCTTCTACAAAAGAAAGAATACTCTGGCTTCAGCTTTCTGTGTTAATTATACCTGTGTTTCAGCCAACCAGTCCACTTTGACAAGGGAATCAATGAGTTGCTGTTTGGCAAATTCTGCCACAACAGATCCATGAGGTCGACCTTGAACGGTAGTCACGGAGGCACTGTACCCTGTTGATGCCAGTGTAAATGCCAGTTGACCTCTCCCAGTTTCTGTCCTTTGGTACGAGTCCCTTTTCCAAAACCACTCTTCCTTAGGATTAATCTTTTCGGATATCACTCTATTCTAATGGAAAAGGTACTATCCTGGTGGATGTCTTCTTGGCACCACAGTCGAAAGTGGTAGGCCATTAGATTTTGTTATAACTGTTAAAGAGTTCTTGAGGTGGACAATCTTTTACCTTAGATCTCGGAGCACTTCTTTACCTTTCCTCCATGAGGTGGCAACAAGCATTTCAATTCTCTAATTAGCCTCCATTAATAGCTAGTGGGAAGAAAGGGAAGTTCCAGATGGTTTTATAAACTTTGCGGTTGTATGAAACTATCAGGTAACTAAAAAAACAAGAGAAAATGAAAGCTACTATGGAAAACTAAGGCTAAAAATTTAAAATATTGTTTCAACATATTCACATTAAAGCATCACCTGATTAAAAAATATGCAATATATTGTGTTTACACCAATACTGACAGACTTGAAATTTTCTTTGATCCAACAAACAATGAATGTGTACTTGCATGTTTTTCCTAATTCCAGTGCATTTATACTATCAAGGGTAGGAATCATGTTGGAGGAAACACCATTTCACATCGGACCGCACAAGTTCTGCAAGGTTCTCCGTTGTTGTTAACTGAACAATTCTACCTTGATACCCCCTTGCAGAGCAGCCTTTCTGTGACTGGGAGATGTACGGTATCAGTGTCAAACAGAAAGCTTCAATGGCCTTTAACTCAAGATACAGAGTTAAACTGCTCTCACTGCACACTGCTGGCCTTCAGCTTTGCAAAGCCTTTATAGGAGCTATTTGTGGTAGCAATTACCCTCATCCCAGATTAGAAGTGCTCCGAGTCTCAGAGAATGGAGCCTCAGCAACCAGCAAACTCTTTTTAAGAGGCACATCCACGGCTTGTAATATCAAGCCTCTTAATATTGGAGCTGGCTGTCAAAATATTAACCACACATTAAGGATATTCAACATTAGATTACAAAATCATTATATTTTTCTGAAAGCAACACATGAGACTAACTTATATTTCCACATTTATGACTATGAAACAGCAAAAACGAAAACATGCCTGAGCAATATAAGCGGATGTTACATGGGGCTGGAAGGTTCGAGTCAGGTGTGAGATAAAACACAATTCATTCTCAAAGACAAGTGCACCCAAAGAAAACATAAATGGTAGGAAATTATGACATTATGATAATGCAATAACACACAGTAAAATGCACATTACTGTTGTCACTACTGACATTTATTTGACTGTTCTCTCTATGTCAAAGTAGCAAAATGCATTAAATATTTTAGCTATACTATTCATTGACTTTGCTTTTTAACATGGATAATCACGTTAATTAGCATTCTGCATTGGAGACAGTGATACATATATATATATAAGATTCAGGTGGGTAGCTGCGTCAGCATGCGTAGGCTGAAAAGGAACAAGTAATAGGTTTATTCCATGCTGAAAAAAAGAAGAAAGAGAACACGTTTCGGCCGTGGAGCCTTCTTCAGGTGTCCCACACCTGAATAAGGCTCCACGGCCGAAACGTTGTGTTCTCTTTCTTTTTTTCAGCATGGAATAAACCTATTACTTGTTCCTATATATATAAGATGTTTGCTGCATCAGCTTCTCACTATATAGTAGATATATATACTGGATGTATACTGGAGGCAAAAACAAATGTACATTGCTCACCACTTCAACGTTTAGAATAATTTTCATTTTTTCTATTAATCCATTCAGGTCAAATCTAGATGATTTTTTTTTTTAAACAGCTGTATATATATATGCCTGGTAATGAATCACTTTTCTTTCTGACCAGACAGCTGCCCTTTCTTTCACACCTACTTCAAATTGGATTTGATTGCTTATCTTGCACACCATCTGTTCCAGCACTGACTGGTGAACACCAGTGAGGTAACATTATGATATAACCAAATGAGACAAGCATACATAATGAAGATAGCTGCACACCATCCAAAAATAAATATAAATATTGCAGACTTCAGTTCAGACATGACGTGTAAAGTACTAAATGTGAGCCACCATGCCCCTAGAACCCACCTACAAATTTCACCTCTACTATTTTCTTTCCTGGTGCTTCCATGTTTATGATTCTGTACAAATCCCAAGTAGAAGCTTTCTTTCAACTTTAAGACGCCGATTAGTGTTAATTACAGAAAGACTCTGAAAGAATGCCAGGAAACCTGAAGAGAACAGTATTCTCAA